CTCCCTTTCCTAGCCCGTTTCCTCTGGCCAGAGGCGAAAGGAAGCTTGTTACCTTTTCAGCTGATAGACCCACTTCCTTCACCAGCCCTAGGTGCTAGTGCACACATGCCCCAGCCCCCTCATGCCCAGAGCCCTGCTCACCAGCCTTTAGTCACATCTGGAACATATTTTAAATTACCGCTAACCACAACTGCAAACTAAGTTTTTTAGAGTTAAAGATTGAAAGAGATTAAGCTAGGGCTTAGGCGCACTGGCTAAAGTTCAGCACAGGAGATCTGTATCCCCACTTCCCCTGCCCTCACTGGCTCTGCTTGGAAAATTTAACAATGGGAATTTGATCCAATTGTTGCTGCTTGAGAGCACAGAGCCCTCAGCTCTCTCTGGACTCAAGGACTCTACTTGCAGGTGGGGAGCAGTGGAAAGTGGTCTAGGGTGAGTAGTGTTGATGCACTCAACCTTGAAACCAAAGTGACCCAAGTGTCGGGCCTCTGTCTGTATGACCTTTGCTTGGGTCAGTCACCCAACTGTTCCAAGCCTCTGTTTACTCACCTGAATAAGAGAGGGCTGTGAAGGAGTAGTAAGATAATGCATGCACCTAAAACAAAGTCCTCAGCAAATGTCTTTTATCCTTATTAGTATTTCCCACGGCAGCCTCAGCTTTCTCTCGACCTCCCTAACACTGGGGCATCCATTTAACCTCTGGCTTCTGAGTTTCTTCACCTGCATTGGTAGGTTGGGCTTAGTCATCTCTCAGGTCCCTTCCTGCATTAGTTTTCTATAAAGCCATCTTCATTTTGCTCTTTTTTTTTTTCTGCTCATTGGATGAAAATAAAATCACTCATTCCTAAAACGTCTTGGAAAAAGAGGGACTCCACTTGGCATGAGCTTTCATTGGAAACAGCTCTTCCAGCAATGGAATAAAAAGCATGCGTTGTTTACTGTTTGTTCAGGTTCAGAGGGGAAAAGAAATGGTCGAGCAGCTTCAGGTGACAACAAGATCTGGGCTGGGAGGACAGGTACAGAGGTATAGTTAATATGTCAAATCCACAATCCGGGCCTCTGGGCTTTTTTTCCTGTGGGTTTGCCCAGAGTACACACCTGTTGTGTGATAAAAATAATACAACAGTACTCCCAGAGATCTCCATCGTGGAGTGCAACTCTTCAAATCAGTACCTGGGGAGTAATGGTCAATATTTAAGGGAGCCAAGTAAGGGAAGTAGGGAGGTGATAAAATGAATATTAGCCTGTGATAGGGGAGGGGAAAAGTGAGAAAGAGAAATGATATGGCAATCTGGTCTCAAATCAGCCAGGCCCCTGCTGTTGGCCAAGGGAGTAGGCTTGGCCAACAGCTTCCTAAAGGCATCAACCAACCCAATCCAAACTCCTGCCAGGAAGCATCATTACAGACAAATGTCAGCCTCAACTCTACTGAGAACACGTGAAGGGAAAGGCTTCCTACCCTCTCTTCTGAGAGAGTTTTGCCATTCAGACAGATTTTTCAGGGTCACTTTCCAACCTACCTCTAGAAAAAACGACAACTATCAGACCCCTGCTGACTCATTCATTCATGGGAACAAAACCATACATCTTTATTCAAAATACAGACCGTTGCCCAGTCCTAGTCCTCAGGCTTTCTGAGGCCCTTCTGCCACCTTCTTCCTTGCATGTTCCCCCTACCCTGTGGCCACTCTTGGAAAGAAATGTCTGTCCAGTTAAGCATGCTTTGACCAATTAATTTATTCCATCTGTTCTTCCTCCAGAACTTTGACCATGACATAAGAGGTTCCAAAATGGATTCAGTTCTTATATTGATAACCAGATCACTGTAATCAATGGAGAGTGGAGTAAGGAGGGCTGAAGGAAAGGAGCACATAAGATCCCCCCGCCCCTCCGTTTGCCTGGCTTTTATGCAAATTGCTGATTTATCCACTATGTTAAAACGTGCAGACATGTGAAACTGCATAAGAAAGAACCTCATCTCTACTTTGCAAGGAAATTTTTAAACCTGGTCCTGTTCAAGTCATGGGTAACAGGGATGGGGGGAAAGAGAAGCAAACTCATAAATAATTGTTGAATGAATGAATGAACAATATTAATTGAGCAACTACCATGAGCCAGTTCCTTTACCAGGTGGCTTACCTGTGTTCAATCCTAAGAATAAGCTTGTGATAGGTAGACAGATTCCTGTGTCACAGGTGAGGCAATGTCACCTCAGAGAAGTGAATAACTTGCCTTGGGTTACTCAGGCCTTGATTCAACCTCAGATCTGCATGACTCTAAAATCTATCACTTCTACCAAGCCGCACTTGGTGCATTTCTTCGTTGTATATTTTCCAAAATTCTGAGGACTCAGAGTCTTTAGCAGGACCTCATAGAGTCTTCAGAAGTGGGGAAAATAAGCGAACATGACTATTTTGAGTCACCTCGCCCTGACAGCTTTGGAGAAGCAAATGCAGCCTTACAGGTACACGCTTCCTTCATTAAGTTAGTCGCCTTTATTCGAAGTCAAATGCTTTTTATCTGAATTGACAGCAGGTTTCTGATCAAGTATTACTGAGCCTGCTTCTAGGTGCGAACCTGAGTGAGTTCCTCCGTGTCCCCTTGGTTAATGCCTTGTGACGTGGGGTGCCAGAACTGAGCAGTTTGACTCAGTCTAACGCAATGTGACAGCTAACATCCAAAGGAGAAACAGCTCCTCTCCGCTGTCTCCCACTTTCCCCCTATTTACAACCCACATTTCCAACACAGTCTGCAATGGGCTTTGTAACACACCAGGTGTGTATGTTGCCACTTGGAAAGGTCACTTTTACATTTGCAATCTTTGCACCGTGTTTCTGTTATGGATGTATGGAGCAGAGGGAGAAAGAGCCTAATGTTAGTGTATAGTTGGTTCCTCCAGTACCATGTTGGAAGGGGCTGACAGGAGGAGAGGCCCCAGGCCACGGGGGCTGGGTGAGGATGCTGATGACTAGGCTCAGTGCCCCAGGCTCTCGTGTTGGCTCTCCACTGATGTCATGTCCAGGCAGTCTGAGGGACTCGGGACAGATTTTCTCCAGGGCAAGAGCAGTGCCATTGCAGCCTGTAGTCAATGGAGATAACCTTGACAGCACGAACAATGAGCAGCACATCATTTTCCTGAGGATGTACCCGTACACGGAAGGATCTCTGCCAAATCTCGTCCCCTTGCCAAGGCGTCCAGGTGTTTCTTTGTGTTCGCGCAGAGAACTAACATCATTTTTTCCTTCAGTTCGGAAGAGGTGGTCCAAAGTGTTTAAGAGACAGTGGTTGCAACATGTTGGAGCGAGAATTTATTATCTCAACCCCAATAGGTCTTAATAAGCCTTACACAACTGTTTAGGCATTTATTCTATTAACGGCTGTTCATTCTGGTGACTTCACCTGAATATTCATGATCTTCCTATCCCCAGAGCTTCAGCATAGCAGCTGTTTGAAACCCACAGCAAATGTTCAAGAGAGTTCCACAAATATAAACACCCTCACAGCTGAATGTTCCAGCGCTGGCCTCATGGAGGCTAGCCATGAAACATTTATGTGGAGTGGTTTTTTTGTTTTGTTTTGTTTTTTTGAGGGCAGCATTTACAAAACTTAAATAATCCTCCCCCTTTGGGGAACTCTTCACTCTAATTGGGACATGACCATGTGGACAAAGGGTTCGGGAGAGTCCACATCCACAAGGATAACTGTCTCCCTCCTTTTTCTCCCCTTTGTAATGGGAGGCTCTGAATGAATTCCAGTTGAAAGCAAAGCTAGAGCCATCGGGGGTGAGAGAGTGGGGGCGTGCAGGTGGGACGTGCAGCGTGCACTTCAGGGGATATTGCTGAGTTGGTTGTTTGTGAAAGAGTGAGGGGGTTCATACAGGGACTATTTGTAGCATAAAAATATCAACGGAGAAAGGATTGGTGGTGCTTTTCCAAAGGGATATAACTACGAATGACAGGATTAAATTAGCAAGAGGGCGATCTGACATGAAATTTAGTGAGATCTCCCCCTTGAGCATATGTTTTCTGCCTTTCAAGTCAGATATGCAAAGTAGAGAAAGTTCAGGCCCATCTTTATGATTGAACAAATCTCCCTCTTGGGCGAGTCACTTAACCACTTTGCACCTCAACTTCTTTGTTTATAAATTGGGGGTGGCAGGGGGAATGTTGTGTCAAAGAAGGTGGTTGTGTGACAGCACTTTATAAACCAAGCAGATATTAATGTTTTATAAATACATTCCTATTGTCCTTAATTGACCCAAAGCATAAAGCTAAAGATGAGTAAATAAATTTTTCGAGCCTTTTTGTGGGAAACCAAGGTCACCTCGAGGAGTGAGAACTATGGGGTGAACAAGGAGATGAGGCTAATACACATGCTGTGTAATACCGTTTGCTGCAGTAGAAAGCACAGGGTTGTGTAGTCATACTGATGTTGGTTCTAATCCCAGCACCACCAGTGAAACTGAGCAAATCACATAGCTTTCTGAGTCTCAGTTCCTTCATCAGCAAAATGTAAAGAATATCTAACTTCCCCTTTTGCCACAGGTTTGAGGTGTTGTGCGACACACAGCACAGTGCCTGGCATAGGTGCTCACCAGTCGTGGGTGCCTTCTTCAACTTTTCCACAGGAGCACAGCTTGCTGAACCCCCCCAGCATGGTCCCTCTGCCCTCAGCTGTGGGGATTTTAGAACCTGTGGCTGGGTGGATGGATCGAATAGCCCCTCCACCAGGCAGTGACTTCTCTAGCCAGAATACCAGCTCTCCAAGCCAAGGGCCTTAAACTAAGAGCAGGGCAGAAGAGAAGACCCTAGTCCCTCCTTGCTTTCACACTGGCCTGGCAGGCTCATTCATTGCTTGAGAACTCTATGGAGTTGAAGGGAAGGAGAGAGGTGAAGGCTTTACTGCCAGTTTATTCCAAGAGGAGAAAATCAACTGAAACTTCTCAAGGAAGATAATCCTCCCCGGTTAAGTCCCCTCCTTCTTGCTTCCCCAGCACTTACCGCATGTATTGTCATTCTTGATTTTTTTTTAATCCGTTTCTCTCGGTAGAAAAATGCTTCTCAACCTTTTGTAAATTCCATCTTTGGATTCATATAAAAATCTCAAGTCGTCCTCTCATGGCATCTGGAATTCAAAATAAAAGAAATGTCATGGTTAAAATCAAATCAACACAATTATAATATCAACATGGTTTTCCAAGTTGCACAAACTTCCTCCCCAAAATACAATTCCCTATCCCAAGCTTGGAAAAAGTCATAATATAATAATAAAGAACCAAATGCATTAATATAATGTGTGTGACTGTTATAGGAGAGGAACAGAGCAAGTCCTTGCGAACACAGAGAAGGGATTCCGTGAGAGAACCAGGGAAAGCTGCAGAGACAAGCGTTACAATCTGAGTAGACATTTTCTGGATGGAAAAGATGAAACAGGCATTACAAGCACCAGCAAATGTATGGGCAAAGGTCTAAAGGAAGGAAATAGATGATGTGGCAAGGAAATGGCAAAACGTTCTTTGTGGCTAAAGTGAGTTTGGGGAGCAGGAGTGAAATGGGTTCAGCCTCCCTGTGCCGTGCTGAGGAACTGCACGAAATCCTATAGGCAAGGGTGGAGTAGCATCATCAGGATTTGATTTTAGAAGAAAAATCCATGCACATTTGTGATAAGAGAAGTGAAATGGGGAGACCACAAATAGAACAAGCCTGTGTTACTTATTTCACCCTCCTAATAACCCCACGGAGTAGCTATTATTTCTCTATATCAAGAAGGAGCTTATAGCTTGCTCTTTGGCTGACAAGTGACAAAGCTAGGACTCAAAGCTAGACCTTCCGATGTCAAGTCTAGGGCACTTTTTCACTTTTCACCATAACTTATTAGCTACTACAAGCAGGAAATGCAAACACCAAGTTGATGTCATGGGTTCTTAACTCTTTTTATGCTATGGACCCATTTAATAGTCTGGTGATGCTTATGAGCCTCATGTCAGCATATTTTTTTAATGCATAAAATAAAATGCATTGAACTTCCGAAGACATCAAAATATTAAAATCTAGTTATTAAAATATTTAAACACTGTGCTATGGTAATATAAGTGCTTCTTTATTAATACATCAAAAATGCAAGCTCTATGGAAGGAACTAATGTCTACCAGAATCTCAAAACAGTGGTAAATAAAAATCATTGTTTAAAATATCTCCAACAACTGCAGTGCAATATAAAAATATCTGTGATTCCTATTGGTGACATAGTCATGGGTTTTTGATAACATGACTGTGACTTGCCTCCAATCATAATTAATAAAATTGACAAGTTCCAGTTATAGATTAGTGAGCGTAAAGGTATAATTCTTTCTCACCCAAATTCATAGATCCCTGAATAATATCCATGGATTCTGGTTAAGAACCTCAAGAAATGTTTCAAATTTGGGATAATCTAAGAAAGCAATTTTCAAAATATTTAGGAATGGGATCCTTTTTTTCAAGTGAACTAAGAAGCAGAATTTCAGAGATGAAATAGTTCAAAGCAGAAGGACTCCGATTAAAGCACAATGTGAACGACTTGGAGACCCACTCCCTGGGTCTCTCCTCACATCTCATAGGCCCAGGCACCCTTGATGGAGCAGGCCCATGAGGTATCTCCTCAGAGTCCCAGGGGTCCCCCAAAAATACTTTGCTGTGGGTTCCCAACATGTGTCTGCAGGTCTCAGCTTTCTCAAGACAGAGAGGCCTGGAAAGTTTTCTGGTCATAATAGCCCTTTCCAGAACACACACTGCTATCCCACTCTCAGGAAAGCCTGTTTGAAGCGAAAGTTTCTGAGCAGCCATGAATTGTCAGCAATATTCCAGAGGTAGTAGCATTGTTCATACATGGGCTGCTTCCAGTGAACAGTAACGGTTTCAAGCTAATAAGGAAATAATCCATTTTCAGCAGATGAAAGAAGGGGGATCAGAAAGGTAATTTGAGCTGAGGGTAATAACAGTGCCAAAAACTTATAATGGAAACTACCTAAAGAATCCAAGACCCTTTGTTAGATATGAATGATTTCTTTTTTCTGGTGAAAAGTGTATGAAGAACTTGAGAAGAAGGGCCTGAGTGGATTTTATGAAACAACCTCTGTCTGGGGAAGAAGGGCTTGGGGTAAGGTTGCAGCTCCACTGTATCCTTAGGTTACGTAACAGGGAGGGAGTTGAAAGATGTTCAATCCACCACAATATGATGTGCTCTGTCTTTGAACTCTTTCCTCCAGGTTTTAACTGTAAGTTCATACATGTTTCTTTGCAATACCTCTCTCCCTGGCTGTGAAGATAGAGCAGAAACAAAAGCAAACTTAATTAAGAAAGAATTCTATGAGGAATGCATACACAGCTGATGGTCCCCACTCTGAGCGCCAAAATCTTGACTGTAATTCAAGAAGAATCCGCCTATTGAAGATTCCTATATGCAACAATGCTTTAAAGTTTTTAAAGGCAAAAAATTTTAATGACATTAACTGAACTTTATTGAAAATATCTAATCCCATTCTGAAATAAGAACTAGAATCGATTGGCTCTACTACCAAAATGCAAAGAACCAAAAAAAAAGATATATAGTGAGCTATGATATCAGTTTATAATGCCTTTTATTCATTCATTCATTCATTCATTCATTCAAAAACTATTGAGTAGCTTTTGGTTGGTGGACTGAACTAGGTGCCAGAAATACGCTGGGGAACAACACATAGTCCTTTGTCCTCATGGGACACATATTCTAGAGAAGAGACAGACAATCCACCAATACGTACTCAGTTCCCCTGAAGGGAATTGATCCTTAGTCTTCAGTGTGACTAAGAATCACCCAGGAAACTTGTTAAAAGTACATATTCCTGATTCAGCACACCTGAAATGGGGCTGAAGAATTAACATTTTTAATGAGCCTGACAGTGAATCTAATGCAGGTGGTTGGCAGACCAGGCTTTAAGGAACATGACAACTAATAACACTGTAGAACAGTCTGTCTTCCTGGGGCCCCCACTGTTCTCACCCCATGCTCTTCACACAGGAATGCCCATTTCTCCCTTCACACCCCTTACTAAGCCTCAGTCTTTGCCTGCACACTTTCTTAGAGCTCTGCCCTTAATTCCTATGTCCTAAGTGTTAAATAATTTATTTCTAGGAAAAAATGATTCCTTTCAACACACTCTGAAAATGCCTTCAGTATTTTGCTGCAGCTCCCTGTCTCTCTAACCTGAACCATCTGTCCCTCCATGTTTTAGGCAGCTGCATTATCTCAACATTCAGTGAGCTGCAGCAGCAGGAGGAGGGCTTCACATCCCTTTGGGCACTAAGAGTGACATTCTGCTTGCAAGGTGCTCGAATCCTTCCAACACTATAAAATAGCCCACCCCACGCAATATTATCAAGAGGCATGGCATGACTGTTTGATCTCCTCATGCCTCATATCACATACACACACACATGCACACATGCACACATGTCCCTGTGAATATAAATAGGTTTGCAGATACAAGATAGCTAAATAAAACCTGCCACTTTCTTAATTTATCAAAAAGTAGTAATTTTCAAACTCTCAGCTATAAACCATATACAGCTACTAATCCATACAAGAATTTGGCTCCTATTAATTCTATTTTCATAAAGGCACCAGAAAGTAAAGAACTCCAGTCTCCAAATGCAATGGCCCTTTATCTTCCCATCAATGACAGTGTTACGGTCATCCTTGACATGACACCATACCTGGACCACACTGTGACTCAGCCCCTAGTTCCAACAAAGTAAAGCAAGACCAGCATTATTAACCTTCCTCCAAAGGACAAACTGTTGCTGCATAATCATCTCTGAGCCCATTAACTATATCCCAGTGGATTCTATACAGAATACTTTTTAATGTTAGTCCTTATATCTTTTTGTTTCTTCTTAACATGGTAATACCTTACGAATAAAAAGTTAATTGCTTAGGGCTGAGCTGAATTAGTGAAAAGCGTGAATGACAACTTATGTCTGTTCAGAGCAGTTTTGTTACTATAAAATACAACAAGATTAAATAAGTGTTGCCAAGTAGAAGGCATGCTGCCCTGCCCTGCTTTAATGAGTAGATAAGAATAATTTGTCATTAGCATACGAAGGCTGCTAAATTGCTTTTTTAAATGTTGCTAGCGTAGGAAGCACAGGCTTCCGCAGCACACATCACTGAGAGAGTTATCCAAAGCTGGCTCTATGAATGCTCAATAAGGGAGATAGAGCAGATTTAGCACTGGATAATTTTTTGAAGTCCATTTCAGCTCCAAACTTTCACAATTCTGTGATTAACTGAATTTAACATTAACTGCATTTGTTTAATTGGGTAAAAGTGTTTTATGAATTACCATAAATTCCCAACTAGTGAAACCCAAATTGATATATTTTGCTGAACCCAATGACTCTACTCATTTCCTGATTTTCATAGGAAAGTAAATGTTTGGTGCCCTATCAAGAGTGTCCTGTTCCATGATATCTAACTAAAAAAAAATGGAGAAAACTTTACTCCAGAGATGGAGAGTGGCACAATAATAAAATTAGCAACTGTCATTTGTATCATTGTATACTGTTTACTTCCAAATGTTCTGTATCTTTTTGTATTCAGGTATTCTGTACAATAACTAAGGAGGGATATTATTAATAACATCATATTAAAGAAAGAGGTCCCAAGGATCTGTGTGTTCTTTCAGGATTAGAACCTGGATCTTTTGACTCTAGAGTCCACCTGGTAGGCATTAGAAGTTGAATATACACTGGTTTAATGGATGAACAAATTGATCATCAATCAGTAAATAATTAGGGATCATCTAATTAAAAGAAAGCACAGGTAGGCCAAGCAAGACAATCATTTGAACACTAAACATCTTTCAGATACTGAGAAATGAAGGACTCCCACTGGGATACATACAAAAGCCAGGCTGGCTCCATAATTTTGGGGCCTGTTGGAAAATAAAAATGCAGGGCCCCTTGTTCAAAAGTCATTAAGACGTTCAAGACAGCAACAACAGAGTATTAAGTCAAGCACTGAGCCCTTCCGAGAGCTGGGGGTCCTGTACAACTATACAGACCACATACCCCTGAAGCCAGCCCTGCACAAGGCACTTTGAAGCT